AGTAAATGCACCAGCAAGTCCACCCAAACCATCAGTTGATTTGCAAATGGAGATAAAAGAAAGCTTAAGCCAGCAGGAGAAAAAAAATACACAAAACAAAAAAAATGAAGCAACAAGCACCAGGACCTGTTCTTTAAACCAGCAACAGGAACAAGTTTCTTCATGACCAACCTGTGCCTCGCACTTGTACAAGAAATGTGAGGAAAACCCTGAGGTCCCCAGTCACCCAAACAGCTCTGAGTCCACAGAGCTCCTCTCCCTGGAGTCGAGGCCTCACCACGGGAGAGCTCTGCAGCGCTACAGCCCATCTCGAAACGGTGGGAAGAAGAGGTGCTGCAGATCCCCCCAGGTTACCCCGCAGAGACCCTGTGCCAGGGGCATTCTCCCGTTTACCCTGCAGGACGCAGCGCTGCCTGGGGAAAGGCCTGAGCGGCGTCTGCCTCCAACCCACCTGGGGGAGAGCCTGCAGCCCTTCTGCAGGAAATGCGTGAGTCGTCCCGCAGACGCCAAGAGGAGGCCGAAGTACGGGGGAGATGGCTTGATCGGTCTGGAGAGGAACTCGGGGTGATACTGAACCCCAACGAAGAAAGGATGCTCTAAGAGAAGGAGACAGGAGAGGTTAATGGCAAGTCTCTTTAAGCTCATGGCTCAACTGCACTCATCATCCTCATCATGGGGAAGAAGTGTCATTTCTGTTCTGCCTTTGGTCCCTGAATGGATGGGCCCAGGGGATTCTTTTTTGAGTCTAATTTTCTGGATGGAATCATTCTGAGCGAGCCTCGGACTGGTCCCACACAAAAACCTGCTCCATTACCCTCTGAGCACTTTGCCCTGTAAACTCCTACACAAACCAACCCCAGTGCTCACCTTCCAACTCAATCACTTCCATTCGCTCTCCCTCCTCATCCTGGCCCACAAACTTCAAGCCTTGCTCTTCAAAACACTTTTTCAATTCTGGATTGACCTGGAAGACCAGAAGCAAGAAGACTCATGATCACTCATGTCTGGATAACATGGAAAAGCTCAATACCTACAGGAGCATTTTTACCTCGAATCTGTGCCTATGTCTCTCTTCCAAGAAATCGTGGTCTCCGTACAGCTTCCCTACGCCAAGAGGGAGACATCTCTTAGAGCAAAGGCCAAACAGTTTCCATGACGCCAAGTTCTAACAAGTTCATGCAAATCGCATCCATCAGAATCTGCCGCTTCTAGAGGCGACCCAACTCACTGATCTCTATTTCACTACCAGAGCAAAGTCTGCAAGCACCAACCCTTCGAGGAGGCTTTAGCATTCCCAGGTCTCGCCTCCCCCAGCATTCCCAGGCAACACTTCCAAAAGAGGTTAAGAAATGCCTCACTCATGATGGAATTCTTCGTCTGGAACAGAGTCCTTCTCTTGCCAAGCCTCATGGTTCCACCCATTTGCCCCGGGTTATGCTCCGGCATGTCGATGACCTGCAAAAAGCATTCGGAGAGGAAGGTGAGGGAGGAGTAACGGTCCTGGGCAGAATCCGAAACATTAAGGAGAGGGGAAAAAAACCCCAACAATCACAGAGAAAACAGGCAAACCGACCCAAGGAAATGTGTGTTGACTAGGCAGAGCAACAGAACGAGGTTAGTCAGCAGAGCTATTCTAGCAAAGGCTGTGCAGGAGACAGAGCAGCTCAGGAAACGGGCTCAGTCAGTGCCCGCACAGAGCCCACACACTAGCGCGGTGCTGTTCACTGAACTAAACGTCAAACAAACGAACAAAAAGCAACTTTACAGAAACAAAACCCCCAGGTCAGGATCCCTCACACTTGGATAAATAACTTCATAAGATGGGGAGTTTTTTGGAAAACTTTTGAGTAACATTTTCAATTATGGCCAAAGCCAGTCGTTACGGTGGACCCTGGAGGAGGCACACACAGCTGCAGGTCTGGAAATGTGCCCACAGATGTTCCAAGGAATCCATGTCTGCCCGTGTTCATTTCCAAGATCATAATTAAACAGTTGCACAGCACAATCTGGACATCATCACATTTTTAACATTTACTCGGTGCAGCTGATTACCTTTCAAACGGTCCTTTAAGAACCTTTTACCTCTCAGAAAACATGTTGTTATGTCAAAAAGTCACCAGAAACTCACCACTGGATGAGCAGTTTTGGGGTCAAATTCTGTCGAGTTCGCATCTGCAAGGCAACACCCGGCCATTAGGAACACGAAACCCCTCCCGCCGTGACAGGCGTGCTCAGCCCCACACTGCGGGACAGACAGGACTTGATGTGAATTCCCGAGGCTGCACACTTGGGGCAACCAGTCTAGAGCCATCGGTGATGAAAGCGAGGGTCATTCAGGAAAAGGACACGTTCAACAGCTTAGAATATTTTTTATGAGGCCAGGGAGAGGAAAGGGAGCAGAAGTACTCTGAGAAACACATTTTCTCTGACTTTCACTACTAGTGAGACTCAGAACTGGGCTGAGAAATTACATCTTTGTAAAAGGGAGCTTTGACAACAGGGACCAAGGCAGTTCAAGCGGTGGAACCCAGAAAGCAAATCAGCTCGGTGAAGGAGGTGCAACTGCCTGGGCAGCTTTTTGGTCTTCGTTCCCACTGGCTGTTACAGGAGTTTCAGCTGCCCAGCACACGCAGGCTCAACTCCAGTGAGGGGTTTTACGCAGGAGCTGAAGCTCAGTCTAAGCAATAGAATGTTTTGTGTCATTACGGCTTACCCCGCTGATTTTTATTTGAATAGGGTAAGGAAATTGTTCTTTTTCCTTTGAATTAGCCAAGGTGATGGGGAATTTTAAGGGCCTCAAAAAGAAAAAAAAATCTATTAAAAAAATTAAATCAATGAAAATTTAAAAGTTATAGGTATTAAAAAAACCCCCAGATATTGCTCAGTCAAAGAAGTGACCAAAACCCAGGAAGGGCTTTGTGCAATTACCTTGCCAGCCGAGAACGCTGCGAGCAAACTCCACAACTGCCAACTGCATCCCCAGGCAGACCCCTGCAGAAGGCGAGACACGACACGCGGGAAGTCACCGCGAGGACCCCGAAGCCTGGTCTGCAACGCAGAGCAGCCCTCGCAAAACCTGGCTGAGACAGAACCCCCAACCCAGATTCAGGCGTCTGTTCACGCTCTGTCAGGTAGTTCCAACCAACTTCACTCCGCCCCTCCCTTCCCTCTCCGCTCTGCTCGCACGTGCCCTGTCTCTCGCTGTGCCCATCTCATTTAAACACAGTCAAGTCTTTCCTCCACAGCCTCCTCCCAAACTTCCACCCCTTGTTAGAGAGATTCCTTGTCACCACATCCCAGCCAGCCCTGACCGCCTCGGAGTCAACTACCAACGTCAGCTCTGCTGCCCCCCTCAGCCACTTCTCCTCAAAACTGCACATTCTGGATGCAAACACAACTTGGGAAAGCTCCTGCTGCAGCTGGTTATGCTGTTACTCGACCTCCTTCCTATGGATGAAACACCTTTCTCACCTAAGAAGGGTTTTTTCTGTTTTCTTGCCCAGGAAATGGCTTGAATTTTGCCTTCTGTCCCTCGAACACCAAATCCACCAGGAACCAGAACGCCGCTGCAAGAGGATGAGAACATCAGAGAAGGGAAAAATTCTGCACCACCAGAGGGGTGAGACCCTGGCACAGGTTGCTCAAGGAGGCTGTGGATGCCCCATTCCTGAAAGTGTTCCAGGCCAGGTTGGACGGGGCGGCAGAGAGGTGTCCCTGCCCACAGCAGGAGGGTTGGGACAAGTTGGAACAAGGTCCCTTCCAATTTGAACCATTCTATGATTCTGTGATTCTGGTCACACAGGGCGCACCAGGGAGGTTACCCTGATCCCACAGCGCCTCTGTCCTGTAAAATCTCGGCCTTGCAAGACCTCCCTCCTGAAAAGGGCTCTGAAGCGCTCTCGGTGACAAGGCCTCCATGAAGCACAATTTCCATACAACTCCACAGGAGCCTTCATAAAACCTCACAGAATTTTCAGGGCAATGTTTCAAATACAAATTTTACCCTCCCAAGAAATCCCGAACACCACACAGGTGACACTGGCAGGACAGCTGATGCTGCCCAGCTCACACGCTCTGCACTCAACATGTTTGCAAACCCATCACCCGGCCAGGTCCGCGCTGCAGGAGCCGCTGGCTTCGGTGTCATGTTGTCCTGACCGCAGGCACAGGGACACCACGCTCTGCAGGAGGTTCTTCACTCCCCTGGTACCACCTAAAACCTGCTCCCTGAGGGCTAAGCCTCACTTGTTCTGGTTTTCTGGGCTAACTCTTGGCACTCCTCTGCACCCTCACACTTGTTCCCTTCTCACTTTCTTCCAGAAGAGCTTTATACCACATTTACAGCTTCCACCCTCTCTCTTCAGCGTTACCAGCCTTTGCCAGTACCTATCCTCTCCCCTTATTTCCCCTCTAAGCCTGTGCACACCCACACCTGTGTGATCACAGAACCATCTAAGAACCATCTAAAACCTTTAAGATCACTGAGTCCAACCATCAGCTCAGCCCGACCAAGTCAGCCACTAAACCACGTCCCTGAGCACAACATCTGCTCGTCTTCTGAACGTCTCCAGGGACAGGGACTCAACCACCTCCCCGGGCAGCCTGTCCCAGGGCCTGACAACCCTTTCCATGAAGGAATTTTTCCTAACATCCAACAGAAACCCGCCCCGGAACAACCTGAGCGCATTAAGCAAATGGGCGCATTAAGAAAGTGTGTCCAGCAGGGCTGGGGAGGTTCTCCTGCCCCTCTGCTCTGCCCTGGGGAGACCCCCCTGGAGCCCTGGGTCCAGTTCTGGGCTCCCCAGTTCCAGAGAGACAGGGACCTACTGGGGAGAGTCCAAGGGAGAGCTACGAGGGGGATCAAGGGACTGAACATCTCTGCTGGGAAGAGAGACGGAGAGACCTGGGGCTGTTCAGCCTGGAAAGGAGACGGCTGAGAGGGGATTTGTTAACGTACAGAAATATCTGAGGGGTGGGGGACAATCTCTTGTCAGTGGTGCCCAGTGATAGAACAAGAAATGATGGGTGTAAGTTAGAACATGGGAAGTTCCAGCTAAGCGTGAGGAGAAACTTGTTGGCTGTGCGGGTGCCGGAGCCCTGGCCCAGGCTGCCCAGAGAGGGTGTGGAGTCTCCTGCTCTGGAGACTTTCCAACCCGCCTGGACGTGTTCCTGTGGGGCTGCCCTGGGTGACCCTGCTCTGGCAGGGGGTGGCACTGGGGGATCTCTGGAGGTCCCTGAACATTCTGTGATTTCTTCTCATCCTATCACTTGTTACCTGGGAGAAGAGACTGACCCCAGCTCGCTGCAGCCTCCTGTCAGGGAGTTGTAGAGAACAAGATCTCCCCTCAGCCTCCTCCAGCTGAACAAGCCCAAGTCCCTCAGCTGCTCCTCATCATCTCTGCCTTTCACAAACTCCATCCCCTATTTAACAATTCTCTATTTTACATCTTATCCTAAATTTCACTGAGAGATATCTGGGGTAATGTCAGAGTGTGCTGGTGCCTAAGGAAACTGTCTCCAGTGAGGCTCTCAGTTCCAAAACTGACGACAGCAACAAGTTCATCAGACCCGCTCAGAGGTTAAGAGCCTTACTCAGCACCACAGAGTTTCTGCCACGCTTCATGGTATCGGACAGGCTCTTCCTGCAGAGTTTCTGGCTCCAGGTCTGCAGAGTCAATATACTGGGAAGAAATCCAAAAAAAGGACAATAAGATGGTGCCACAAGAGGGTACAAGATCTCCTTAATTCTCATTAAATTAAGATATCATCACTACTCCTGGATGGCTCTGGATTTGTTTCTTACTGGATCCTTGATTATGGTTTTTCTGGGCTGATTTCCTGTCTGCTTGTTAACAAAACTGCTTTTCCCCACCAGCCCCACAACTCACAACCAGAAACTGTGTTTTTTGTCTCCCTCACCCTGCAGCTCTGCTGTGACACGTGATGCCTGCAGGACAGGGGCTCAGTAAAGGTGAAGCCTTAACGGGGCACAGCGAGATGGGAACACACGGCTGTGCGGACAGAAACTGCCACGCAGCGAGAAACAACTGCATCACTACCTCATCAAATACACATCATTTCACCTTCAAGAGGGACTGAAGAACAAACAGGGCACGGTGAAGCACAGGCTGGTGTCATTAAAGGGTATTATGACCAACACTACATGTGGAAATGAACTTTTTCCAGTTTTTCATCTCCGAACGGAACATTCTGGAAGCCTGCGAACCCTTCAGGACAACCACTTTTTTCGCTTCTAAAATTTTTTTATCTGTTAAGGTTGGGATACTGCTGAACAGTTCTTGAACCCAACACAAAATCTCCACACACAGGGCTCACTGAGCCCACTGCCCTTCTGCGCCACACAAACACAGCCAGGCAGGAACTGCTCGTGGATGCAGCACAGGGTTTACTCCTCACCAGTCTTACTTGTTTTTCTTCTTTTCTCCTCTACTAATTTACCACATGGAAAGCTAACCCAAACATAAACCAGCGCTGTTACGAAGCAAGCACCTATTTCCCTGACTCAATGGCATCACGAAACCACTGGACATTTAAGAAGTATATTTAAATAAAAGCAAAATTTCTGACAACATATTTCATGTCTTTAGAGCACCCAGCTATAATCAAGCCCCTTAAAAGCACCTGTGCAGCCCACTGAGCCTTAAAACCTGAATAAAGCCTGGGACAGAAGCATCATAAACCCCACGAGTACCACACGGTTAAGAGCAAGAACCCTAAAACCAGGCTCACTTTCAAGAGCTGTCAGAGAAATTCAGGCAAACGGTGCCCTCAGATGCATCAACGGCTCTGTCACCGCTCAGCAACACCGAGCACCGAGGGGTTCCCATGAGTTACGCAGACACTCCGCAGTACGATCTCACGGCAGGAACCGCTGCTTTGCTTTGAAGCTGTTCCATGCCTGACAGCAGATGCTTTGAGGCTGTAATCCAAGTTTGCTGCCTGAACCAACTCCCCCTTCCTGGCCACAAGTTTGTGAATAACTTAAGATGAGCGGCACCGCAGGTGGAAGGAGGATGGAGGATGGGGATTTTTTATTTATTTCCTTTTTCTACACACACACAGCCACTCCTACCTTAATGTCCAGTTTGTGGTTGATAGCCAGTGCAGAGTGCTCCAGTGCTTTAATGACAGATGCATAGGAATCAGAAAACTTGGTGTATTTGCCAACGAGCGCAATGGAACACGTTTCAAGGAGACGGTCATATCTGCACAAAATCAGAACACAAGAGTTATTTCACCAGGAACAGGAAATGAGGGCAAGAATCATGTTATTCATCTCCTCCAGTAACAAGAGCTGGACTCTGGAAAGTCTGTCCAGCTCAAGAGATGATGACTTTGGAAGAGATACCTTTTATAAGAATTATGACTTAAAAACATCAAAGTAAGATTAAAAGAAAGGAAAAAAAAACCCCTATGACAGAGAAAAAGTCTCGTATAAACAGAGAAAAACAGTCCCGTATAAATTAACTCGTCTCTCCTTATGCTGAAAAGCCATTCTGAGTAGATCCAAACTGTCTTTCAGGAAACTGTATTAGCCTCAAAGTCTGCAGTAAACCCCGAGGAGAGAGGATGAGAGCACAGCACAGCGTGTTTAAACTGTGCAACATCTTCCCACGCCGCTGCTGACCGAGTTCTCTGCAGAGGCCAGACCCACAGAAAGCGCTCGGAGCGCCCCAAGGCTGCACTCCCCAGGCTCCCAGCGGCAAAGAGATTGTTCAGAGATTACTTCAGAACTGCCAAACACCTTCAACCAAGCTGGTTACAAGGGCGTTCCCCACCGTAAGGGAAAGGTAGACAGTGCTGGTTTGTGCTGGGTATGCAAGTAAAGGGCAACGTCGAGGTCTTGAAAATTAATTTCTTGTAAGAACAAACATATTTAAGGCTTTCGACACTTCATAATGTCACTGGGGTTTTTTTGTATAAAAAGGGAGGGCAGAGCTGCTCGTCTTTTAATCACTTCAGAGTGGTCGTGACACAGTTCTCTACTGATATGAGATAAGGAACTCGGTAACATTATCTTACAGGTTTTATGAAAACAGGCTGAGGGAGCTGGGGCTGGAGAAGAGAAGGCTCCGGGGAGACCTTCGAGCAGCCAGTACTTGAAGGGAGCCTGTAAGAAAGATGGGGACCGACTTTTAAGCAGGGTCTGCTATGACAGGACAAGGGGCAACAGTTTTAAACTAAACTAGCTGCAAGGAAGACATCTTTTACAAAGAGGGTGCTGAAAACACCGGCCCAGGCTGCCCAGAGAGGTGCTGGAGGCCCCATCCCTGGAGACATCCCAGGCCAGGCTGGACGGGGCTCTGAGCAACCTGACCCGGTGAAAGGTGTCCCTGCTCACCGCCAGGGACTCAGACTCAAGGACTTTCAAAGGTTTCTTCCCACCCCAAACTATTCTGCCATTCTCATGATGGAGAATTTTTTTTTCCCAAACAGTTAAACAGCTGGGAAGAAAATGCATTATTGCAGGAGGAAAAAAAAAAAACCTGAGCATGCAAGCACTTGAGGAACACAAAGTAACACTCATCACCTAATAACCCACAACCAAGAAGAGAAGCTCATCTGGAGCCTCACCAAAAGCCGGGCCCAGCAGCGCGGCTCACCTGTCAGCCATCTCCTTCCACTTCAGGAGCATCCTCCTGGGCTGCCTCTCGATGGGGAGGTCAAGCCTGTGTCGGAAGTAGTCAACAACCCCCTGCTCCTCTAACAACAGAGGAACCCGGTAGATAGAAGAGACATCATGAACACAGATGACCTGTTTGCACAACACAAAGGTCATTAAAACCCACCCGACTGCCCGCGCCATTATTTTGAAGACAGATATTGAGAGAGCTTCTGTTTCTAGCAGACAACCACAGGAGCACCTACAACTTCCAGGAAATAACATCTGTGGGCAACATAACGTAGGAATAGCTTAATACTAGTTTCCACATACTTGAAAAGATCATCCTTCAACACTTCCCAGATACCACTGCTCGCTGGAGCTCCTTGGGAAGGGATAACCCGGCGATAAGGATGTCGGCTGCCATGCAAGTTCAGAGAACACATCAAAGAGACTTCTCCTGTGCTACAGCCTTCTTGGTGATCCTCACGGAAGGTGCAGTTCGACTGCCCACCAGCCCAGCTTCCCTGCTCCCCACCCCTGTCGTTCTTAAGCAGAGCTCCCGGTTTGATTAAAGCCGGGCAATAAATTTTACAGGGCGTCCTTCAAATAACTATGAAAAAAAAATTCTTAGGTCAGTGTAATATCCACATCAACAGTTCTGGTTCACGGAAATGGGCTTCCTCAGGAGAGAAAAGGGATCTCGAGGCCACTGTCACCTGTCCTTCCAGACAGCCTGCACTCGAAGGATCAGGAATACACTGGCACAGCGATTTTTAAGTCCTCATTTCTCCTGATTCAAATGAAAGCAGAGTTCAACACTGCAACAGTAAAACCCCCTCGGTTGCCAGTTTTCCTACTTTATAGTCAATAGAATTTACTTCTCAATCCAAGAGCAACTGCAGCCAGGGAAACAACTGTGGAAAATTGCATTAAACTTCCCAGAAAACGACTGACAAGAGCCAGCTTACTCTCAGTTCCTGGCCGAAGAGAGGCAGGTATCGCACTGCTGACACCTCTGTATTACTGCCAGATCACATGGAATGTAATACTCAGAGCTGCAAGACTGGGTTGGATCTCACTGTATCAGAAATTAATAAAAGTCACCTGACAGAGCCTGGAATGGTGAAGTGATCCTCAGTCTTTTACAAAAAAAGGCAATTTTTTTAAAGCTCCAGCTGGATTGGGAAGTGCTAATATTTAGCCTACAGACTGTTTGATTCCTTTCCAGGGTCCACCTCAGACTGTGCAACGCACAGGGTAGTCTCAGTACAAAAAGAACCGCACTAACACGGAATTTCTGCACAGCACATAACATTCAAGTGAAGCAATGTCGCTCTCAAATATCATTTCAACTTTGCTGTGCAACCTCTCCTTACGAAATCTTGGGCAGAACAATAATATCATGAAAGGAGCAGCATATGAAATACATTCGTGTATCCTTTAAACCTCATTTTGGGCGACTGCTCTTTAGCCTCTAAATACTGAAAAATCTCCTTTCGTATTCACAGGAGGAACATGGAAAGATAACTAAGGTCACAAAGAGCTAGGAAGAAATTTATCTTGGATTCCACAGATTTCTCTAAGCCTACGCTAGCTACTTGATGAGGAAACCTGGGTGCTGCCACAGAAAGGACTTTTTGCCACAGTTATCTGTGTAAGGAACATAGATAAGACAAAGCAGCAACTGAATTATGCAGCTAACAAAAGGCACAGCTAGAACACAAAACACTCAGATAAAGCTCCGCTCAGCACTTGACAAACAGCTAGAATATTTATGGCAAGGAAGCGCAGACAGCAATCTTTACCTGTTCTGGTTCGACATGACAGAACATGGAAATCTTTTCTTTTACTGAGGTATCCAGTGGAGTGGAGCACCTGCAAACAATCTAACAGAGAAGCAACATCAAGGTTCGAAAGCAGAACAGAAGTACTCAGACGTGTGACAAACCTCTAACAAAGCTGTTGCCTTTCTGCAGCCTCCGTGCCTCAGGGAAAAACCCAGCTCAGTTATTTTCAGGTGTTCACTACAGATCTACCAGAGCTCTCAACCTGAGCAGGTTCTTCAGGCCAAGGTGTTGTTGCAACATGCCAGCACCGCAATTTTCAATCCAAAGCCACGCAGCAAACCTTACCAGATCTGGGGAGAGCCCGAGACCTCTGAGCTCACGAACACTGTTTTGGGTGGGTTTAGTCTTCTGCTCACCTGTAGAGCTCGGCTGGCCGGAAAAAAAAGCAGAAATTGGTATATTAAATTGTGACGGCGTGCAGCAAGGATTCACCAGGGCAAACGAGACTCTCTGCCCTAATCATCTTGTCAAGACTTTGACCCAGTTCTTAGATAATTCACATGAACTTCAAATGTCTCTGTACCTATCATTTGGATCTCAAAAGCTGAAAGTCTGCACAGCAAGTGGCCATGCACTGAGGGAAGGAGAGAGCAGAGATGCTAAGTTTTACCCACTGCTCCCATCCAATACCTAATATAAAATATTTCTCATGTTTTCTGTGTAAATCACCCAGCCTGGACAGAAGAAAGAAAGGAAGAGACAGAGGAAAGAACAACTGATCTGCACTCCTGTAACTATCCAGTTGCTCTGTCAAATCCAGTTCTGAGGCACTCACGCTCTCCAGTACTGATAACACAACCCCAAAGGAATTTATTTCAGCCCTGACTCCTGCAGTAGAGATTTTTTTCTTTGGTTAAGACTGTAAATTGTCTCCAAAACCAGAGCAGGCAATACAGATGAGGTTCTATCAGGCATTATATGGCACAATACACCTTCATATGCTTTTGATATTAAACGGAGTTCGCCCCATCTACTTGGCACATGAAGATATTCTGCTTTTCTTTGTGAGTCCTAATTAACTGATTCTTATCCTAGCACTGCTCCATAATACCTCTTCTTAGTTAAATCTCTGAACCAAGGGCAACTGCCACTCAGGTTGTTACGGCTTACCCACAAGGCAGCTGTGAGCGGATATGAAATTACTGCCAAAAGATCAAACACACACGAAAAACAGTGTCGTGCAGATAAACCAAAACCAGATTACATTTCAAAACACAGCATTACGTTTTGAAAGCACAAAAATAACCCAACTTTTCATGAACTACACGTAATGTCAGTCTTGGGAGGAGAGAAGCACAGAGGAACAGAAATATTCAAGAACTCTGGGAAGAACTTGGAATATGACCTTATTAATAAAAGCCCAAGTGGCTGTGAAGGCTGGCTGTATCGCTGAATTTTATAACGGTTTTGCAGAAATGAGAGGCTATGCAAATTAAGGGAAACTGAAAGCTCTAGAAAGTAAGTTTACCTGCAAAAGCTAGGAGACAAATTCCATAGAGAAAAAAAAAAAGCAGTTAAAGATGCAAAACTGCGTTTGCTGCAACTTGCAACTACTAATTACACATTTACACACTTTGAAAAGCAGCTTGCGAATTTTTAAACAGGTAACCGCATCTTCTCTGCACTTTTCCCAGAAGTTTCTATCTATATACAAAAATAAAAAAACAAGTAACAATGCCTGCAGATACAGCCTTTCAGAACCACACTTTGAGAGCAAGCTTTGCACTGGAGAAGCCTCAGAGCGCCAAAACATTTTGGGACCTTACCTGGGGAACGAGGCTGACATGAATGTTACAAAAATTCTCTCTTTTGGCTTTGAACTGGAACTGGCGGAAAGCTTCGATGAAAGGCATGCTTTCGATATCGCCTACCGTCCCACCAAGCTACAACAGACACAGACATCTGCAATTCAGTTTACTACCAACATATCACCTGCTGAATTCGTATGCTGAAACGTACTAATACACACACAGAAGGATGGTAAAACATCTCCCTCTGATTCCCTAAAGGAGCACCAACACTGATATGAAAAGCACCAGGAGATGCCAGTTGCTACTTCCACGGCCTCCAATCTACCTCAGCTATATTTTACCTTCACAGTTTCCCCCTAAAAATCAAAAAGCCACAAGAAAAGCAGGTTCTCGTATGGGCAGCACCTCTGCAGGGACATTAGCTCTACCTCTACTCTCTTCAGGGAAAAGATTTAGATTCTAAAATTATCATCTATGAACATTAGGTGGCACTGAGAAGCGGAATTTCTGCCAAGTTTTAGTATCGAGGGGTTCTGGACACAGGTGGGAACAGAGACAAGGCATTCCTCCGAGCACTGGCAGCCTCCCGTGGGCTCCCCGACAGCGCTGCAGGATCCAGGCTCGTGAATCCTGGCACAGACACTGGCACTCAGGCGGCAGGGAGAGCCCTAAGTCAGGACGACCCGGGCACTCTGACCGGCTCCCGCTCTCCTGCACCAGCCAGCTCAGCACTCTCGGAGCCTTTGCTCTGCTCCACCTCCTCTGGCAGCATGAAGCCCACACGATGCAGAGGAAACGGCACGGGGCTCATCACCACTGACACAGACCATTCCCTTTTCCAGGTCTACACATCAATTAATCACACCAAGGGTCCTTTTACTGTGTAGGAGGAAAGACAACCGACCTCCCCTCCCTCTACCCACCACAGAAGAGGCCACAGCACGATTAGCTCAGGCTTCGACATGTAAAGCTGCAAGAACTAAAATGAATTCTTCAGACTAATTCACATTACGCTGGAGAGGAGGCAAAAATATATCAACTGTCCCAGGCCTAAGTCTTTCTATGTGCAGATTCAGACCTGGAGCACTCAAGGTTAGATCGAGTAAGTGAAGCTGACAAGGGGGATTTTTTTTTAACCAACCCAACAACAGGGAAAGTTCAATATGACTAAAAAAAATCTTACTATGCTGAGTAGTTCAGTTTACCCCATACAAGAATGAAAACTAATTTTTGTTTGTTTGCTTTTTGGTTCATTTTAAGAGCTACAAACCTCAATCACACAAACTTGGGGTTCAATGCCATCTTCATCAACAGGAATTCGTGCCTGCCTCATTACCCATTCTTGTATAGCATCCGTGATGTGTGGAACAACTGAAAAAGAAACCCAGGCAAGGGTTAAAAGCCACAACCCACACACATTTCTCCTTCTTAACTCATTACATAGTAATTGTTGGAAGTAACTAGCTAGTGCTTCCCATATGACTCGAGTAGGGATTTATGTCTTTGAAGAACTATGCATTTCTGAAGTGATTATTCTTGGCTCTGATTTTTCAAGAGAAGCGCCTCGGCAGGAAATGTGATCCTGCCTCAATTTAAACACATGCAAGCAATGTTTCCTTGAAGCTGAAAAATTCAAGTATAAACAGTTCTGTGCTCTAAACAGAGAGGGTTACACTGTTTTAAATTGTCTTTAAGTCCTTATCCAAACCAGCTGTGGAGGATGCATAAAAGCAAAAGGACTGATCTGATATCTTCAAAGATCCTTTGTGTTTTCTATCAACATGACACATATGAAAAGCAATAAACAGTTTAACCAGCTAACAAATAATCCACAGGTGTATTAGCCTAAAGCCTGTTCACATTTAGCATTCACTACGTTAGGCAGTCGGACCTGAGCTCAGCACAGAGTCCAAACAACGGGCAGCACGCTGCTTGAGCACAGGAAAGTTCTGAGGAGCTTACGGGCGACCTGACTCAGTACGGCACAGGCTGCTGTGCCTGCACTGGTACATCTTCTCATTCCCCTTTTAAAAAAAAAAAACAAAACACCACAAGGACAGCATAAAACCTCGAGTTAAGATGAAATGCAAAAGCATCCAACCAGGGCAGAAACGCTGAACAGATCTCTAAGCATCGGAAATGAAGCTTCCCATCACCTTGGACAGTTTTGCCAAGATAGTCTCCCTTCCTCTCCTTGTTGATGACATACTGGTAGATCTTGCCCGTGGTCAAGTTGTTGTCTTTGGTGAGTCGGATGTCGAGGAATCGCTCGTAGTTACCGAGGTCCAGGTCCACCTCCCCTCCGTCATCCAGCACAAACACCTCCCCTGTGGCACAGGGAGAAAGGGCAGGCACACCGGTCAAGGCAAGACGGTTCTCATCAGTGACCTGCTGGGTTTTGCCTGCGACAGCTGGAAGAAT